TTATAGGCCAAACAATTGATTGAGAAAAAAAGTCTATAGGTAAATCAATTATGAAAATAATTGGTTGCAGCCCTACTAGCAAAGTTCACACCTGCGCTCATATCCACACGAAAAATGAGCAAAGCATGACCATGGTCTCACAACACAGATCTGTTTATATGTGTGCAGTGACATGTACCATGTTTGTGCCATATGTCACATTACAGATCTCTCCACAGGCAGCATAATATCTTCAGCCAACATACAGTCACCTCCGTGTGGATGGCTTGGTCTGAATGAGTGCGTGGGCGGGCCAGTGTTAGTGTGTATTACCTGTGTGTAGGTGTGGGTGGGCAGGTCTGTCTGGAAGGTGTATCTGATGAAGTGTAAAACCCTTTATATGGGAGATAATCAGATTAAATACCTGTTTTACACATTTACTTCCATGGCAAACAGGTAAATAAAGAAATAATGCTCAAAGAGGCATGAAGTATAAAGGCACACACAGAGATAGTGCTGTGTGTGGGCCCATCTGTTCCTCTGGCGGAGCGAGTTAATCCCTGCGTGGAGTCACAGGCCACATGACCGTTATAAATTCTAAACTCAGCTGTTCTCTATCCTGCCTGTTTTCATCTTTCTGTTTCCCTCTTCACTTCCTGACCTCAGCTCTTAAGTGCGGGTTTGATTTCCTCACCTGCTCACAAGTTTAAAGCTCAAATCTATTCGGTCCACGATATCTGTTATAATTTCTGAATTTGTTTGGGTCAACTTTCACCTGCTTTTTTTTTACTATTGCAACTTGATTCTTGACCAGGTCTCCCTTTTTAAAAAGAGATCTAAACCTCAATGCAACTTACCGGGCTAAATGAATACATCTACTCTTTCCTAAAGGTTACATGTTTACCATTTCAAATACAGGACTTTAAATATTGTCCTTCTTTTTTCTGTGTGTGTGTGTGTGTTAGCGGGGTGAGGAACGTGCAGTCACACACTTACAGTATGTCGCATGGCCCGACCACGGCGTACCCGATGATCCTTCAGACTTCCTGCTGTTCATCAGCTCGGTCAGGGAGAGGAGGCGAAGTGAAGAGCCACTAATGGTACACTGCAGGTAACACACACACACTCACACACTCATAGGGTAAACTGTTAATGAGCACTGCCTGCACGCCTCTAATGTTCACTCAACGCCGTGTGTGTGTTTTGAATTTCAGCGCTGGGATTGGACGGACAGGTGTTCTGATCACCATGGAGACGGCGCTAGCTCAGCTGGATGGGGGTCAGCCGGTGTTCCCGCTGGACATCGTCAAAACTGTGAGGGATCAGCGAGCCATGATGGTTCAGACCACGGTACGGATAACCACCACAGTGATTGTTCTCTCCCATAATAAGTTTGTTTTCTTTATTATTGCTATATGATACCCTGTTGATGAGAGAATTTGAATCAGATAAAACATGAAATAAATGCAATACGCACATACCTATGAGGATTGGTTGGGTATATTACATATACATACATAAATAAATTAAGGTATATCCAACCGATTTGTCTCCTTCAAAGGAATATCTGTCCGGTAAAAAAGGCTTGACAAGGGGGGATGTAACCACATATAACCAGTTTATTTTGAAAATGTTTTAGGCAACAGAAGATGTTAAAAGTTTGGGGTGAGCAAGTTGCACTTTGAGGTGTTTTTACTTCCAAAATTATTTTCTTGTCCAACATCATAGTCATATATTTTCTCTTGGCTCAATACAGGCTGTTCAAATGCATTTACTATTTTAAATAGTGAAGTTCGTGTTTTAATATTGGATTATGCTCAGTGCAATTCTCCTGAAAGGTCAGAATATTTGGTTTGATAAAGTTAAAGCTTCTGGGAGATTGAAAAGTCTTGAGAGCTTATATTATTTTGTGAATATACCTTATAAAGAAACTTTTAATAAGGGAGAGTAGAATCCTCGAAAATGACTTCTCAAATGGCCAACTTCCCAGTTCTTGTCATATGTTGGATCTTGTCATCTATAACCTTCATTATTACACACACTTGGCTGCCACAGTTTGATGAGGCTGGAGAAGCTCATCATTTGCACGCTGAGGTTAGAAGCCGTGCTCTGTGGCCCCTCAGTGGTCGAAGGAGAGGAAAGTGTTACTCATTGCTTTGATAGGAGGTAGCGCTGGGAATATGGCAGCCCTCCAGTCATAAGCCTGCTTCTAGGCCACTGCTGCTGCCAATATCTCCCGTATTTTGAAAGAAGATCCAGTCCCGTGGGCTTCTTCGCTCTGATGCGTTTGTGCTGATGGAAGGCTTCCTCAGGTTTCCCCTCATATGTTTGTATCCCTGACATTGATGGAAAACATGCACAGTCAGAGGACAAACCTTCATGCCTGGTACACAGACTGGATAAACACATATGTTTGAAGGAAAAGGTTGGCATTGATATGTACTATATCCTTCTTCCTTATTGAAAACAAACCTCATAAAAACAGCAAACCAAATGTGGTTCAATTATTTTCAGATCCTGAGCCTGTCTGTGAAACTGTTGAAAATTAAATAGATTAAAATAGGTCACAAATACACTGTTAACAATTCAATCTCACCACAAGGTCTACTCAGTAGCTGGAGCTTTTTTTTCTTTAGTAATTCTTGCAACATGGCTGTAAATATGGCACTTTATATTTCACTGAAATATATCAATTTCATTGAAAAAGGTTTGAAAAGAAACAAAAACTGCACTGGTGACTATTTTTCCGACGTGTATTAAAACACATTTGGTTGTTAGTGAGTATTGCCTCTTGTGTATTCTTTTATCGCTTTTGGACAACAATGAACTGAACAGGATCAGGTCATTGTTGAATAGTTCCTTTAATATATTCAGCAATTTCAGTGTTGTGTAACAGCTGTAAACTCTTTGTGTGTTTCAGTGTCAGTTCCAGTTTGTGTGTGAGGCCATTCTGCGAGTCTACAAAGAGAAACAGGAGGGATCTTCAGCACCGTAGCTCGAATCAGCAACAGGACCAAAACTGACACACTTCCAGTTTCATCCTTATCTCATTGCAGGCAACTGCCACAGAGGGACTTACAGCGCTATAGCAGATTAACCTCTGCCACCGCCTGCCTGGTACACAGACTGGATAATGAGAGTATAACCAGCTCAAGAGTACAGCTGTCTGTGTTCTGCGTAGCCTATATTCAATGTGAGAGTATGAATCTTACACCTAGTCGGCCTTAGTGTTTGCTTATGAAGCTCGTAGAGGCTGCGGTCTCCATAGAGACTGATGTAATACTGATGTGAGCTGCTCATTTCTGTCCCAGAGGCCACTCAAGAATGCTGCCTCTACTTATGAAGCTATGTGTGCCTTGAACTGAAACCCAATGGATCGAATGGCGCGGCAGAGGCAGACCTGGATCGTTTTAATCGTTGTTTATCTGTGTGTCCAAAGATGAAGAGCATGGCAGCCTTTAGATCAGTACAGCAGATACTGTAAGGTACAGCACAGAGGAGCACCAAACTCCACTCTTCAACACTGTTAAATTATTAAAACACTTAATACATTCTGATTTATACTCATGTGTCTGCTTTGTCCGATCTTTCATAGTGAGTGTCAAAAATAACATGATTAAATGGGGATTTCTCATTATGTCAAGTTACAATCTTAAACCCCTTTCCCGCTGTACAATACATCTCTAACATCTGGCTTTTAACTTTGGTGGGAGGGGTTACAATCCGCATTTATTCCTGGGACAGATTATTCTGCACTAGTCAAGGTTATTTATCAACTACAGCTCCAATTTGCAATGATGGAAAAAGGAACACCCTAATTGTTAACCCTTTTTCAGTGCATTGCTGTGTGAGATACTCTCTTAAATAAATATATAATAAATACAATAAACATTTTGGAATTATATATTCATGAATGTACATAACAATTCCAGTTACACAACAGCAATTTCACCTACCTGTTTATACCCGTTCCATGTATAACTCTAGTTTAAGAGTTTAAAAGAATGACTCGATAAGTAACAAATACTTCAAATGCAATGGCTTTCATCAGTTAGCCATGACTCAAATGGCCATTGTGTGAACTTATTGATGATAATGATTACTTAAAAGGCTCTGTGGTGACTTTTTATGCATGCTATTTTCACTATTCCTTGCAGATTGAAGCTCCTGAAATAAAAAGAGTAGTCTGCTTATGTGACCTTCAGCTGAGTTTCTCTAAAGCTGGCAACATGACAGTGAAACTTTCAGCAATACAAATCAGCCCAATTAACTAATTAATTAATTAATCAGCCTGGTTAGGAAAAAATATTGTTTTAAAATAAATAATCAATCACTAAATGTATTATGGCTGTGGGGATTTAAGAATCGTTACAGGTTTCTGTTGTTTTATTAATTATGTTATTCTTTTCGCTGTCCTTTTCTCATATGTATAACTCAGGCACAAACATTTGGTATGCTTTTTAATAACTACCACTACAATATTTTGGAGAATGATGAATCTCATAATTTCACACATAAATTATATTAATTATGTCATGAGCTATAAGTATTTTGCACAAAAAGCTACATCACCAGCGTGTTATGTATACACAATGTACATATTTGCTGTCAGAATTTAGCTTCTAACAACCATTAATATTGATTGACCCAGTTTGTTTATGTTTTGTATGGTGTTGGAATGGGAATTGTGGGATGTTATATGTTAAGGAATTTGCTGCATATTTGTTTGAATTCAAAATAATGTAGGGCTGATTCCATTTATTTTAGATATGTCAAAATACGATTTGACTTTGACCCAATTCATAACATGACAAATCTTTAATATTTGTCAGAGTCAGTAGAGAAGGAGATTTTATAGATCTTAAGAATGGTAACTGTTTCACCGAAAATATAATTGGATAGACAATTTATAATTTTATTTTATTTGTATTAATGTATGTAGGCTATTTAGTGTCATGAGGGTGTTGTGTTTTGACTGGGACTTGTGAAATTATTCAGTCTAAGGTTCTATGAATAAAGTGACACATCATTATGTTGGGGACTTCCTGGAAACCCTTTATCGGTCCTTGAGGCACCTTGGACCGCACCTTGGGAACCACTCATGATAAAGGCGGGTGTCCGACAGGTGGCGCTGGTTTACCGGCGCTGCTGGGTCGGCCTGTGAGGGAACAGAAGTTTGTTCTGCGCTGTGTTTTTACGCAGGCGCAGAACACACTGTTTGTCCAGTTTCGTTGGTTGACTTTTACCTGTGAGGTAGTTTCGGTTCGCCGGTGGGAATAAGCAACAACCACCCCCGGGGTTCCGGTGCAGAGGTGACCAGTCTTTACTCCCCCTTCCCGGCCCCGTGTGACTCCCACGGCGGAAGCGTCGGTCGGGATTTTTCCGGTATTTGAGAGTCGGTGCGCAACAGCAAGCAAAGCAGGAGGCAGGTGCACAGGAGAGGACAGGACAGGGGGAGGAGGAGGGCTGCTTGTATTTCTGTGAGAGTCGTTCACACCGGGCCAGTTAATCAACTGGTTGGCGCCTCGGTGGTCTTTCTGCGTGAGTTTCATTAGTATGCGGCTAGGGTCCCCCGCCGACATCCAGCCGAAGGACTGATCGGCAGTCCTGAAGTCTCCTCCGTGCCTGCTAAGTGACTCCTCGCCCCGGGGAGGACGAGGAGGAGGAGGCGGGGAAAGCAGCAGAAGCAGGACCCCGGCTTCTCCGCCTGTTGTGTGGAACACTTTCCCCGGACACAACAAGGACCTCCTCACCTTGTGGATCAGGAAGATGATGGGCTTTCTGCGCCGGACGTTCAGCCGCCGCTCCCGGAGCCGCTTCCAGACGAGAGAGAGGGACGAGCGGGACGGTAAGGAGGGAGGAGGAGGGGTGACTGGGAACCCCCTGCTCCTGGCCCATCAGCAGCAGGTCGTGCATGCACCCGCCGTGGTCAGCGGGGGGGCGGTGGTGCACATCCCGGCGGCCGGGACGGCGAGGACCACCATCACCTGCCGGGTGCTACTGCTGGACGGCTCGGATGTCAGTGTGGATTTGCCTGTGAGTGTCCCGTGTGCTGATTGCGGCACAGTATGTAAACAAAGTACATGGCGCAGGAGGTGGTAGTAGGCTAGGTCAGTGTGTGTCAAAGTGCGGCTCGGGGTCCCCATGTGGTCCTTGTTTGGCTTCCTTGTGGCCCCCTCTCATAGTAAAAAAAAACTATGAGTTACTGTACCTATAGCACTTCAGTACATCAGGGTTGATGTAAGTTTTGCTTTTTTAAATTCAAAATGTAAGTAGAAACTACAATTCTGGTGGATCTGAATTATTTCAAGTTTATTTTATTATGGCCTGGTAAAAGTTAGAAAAAGCACAATCTTGGTAAGACAATATGTAAAACTTAACTTTTTTAAATCTTGTGATTGTTTTGTATCTCTTTATTAATCTAGCATTGATGCAGATGACATTTTCGTTGAAATTGTTGAAATTGCCATCTTTCTTCACTTAGTGTTTCCAAATGCTATTATTTATTTGGCGCCACTGTCGCAAACCCAGATCATTTTCTGTTTTCCTCAGAGACTAGTAATTAATAACAACAGTTAGTAGGCTATATAACGTAGGCCTATGTGTCTTCCACAGTTACTTCAGCTATTGATCAGTCCGCCATTTTCGCTACTGTGGATATTGACTGAAAAAAACATACATTGATGGTTGACTCACTTCCTTTTGTGCTGTAAATCGATCCTTGTTGAAATAATATCTGGTGGCAGACAGATTGATTGGCATAGTGAAAGTTAGGCTAATATGGAACCAGTCTCAACAAAGATGGTCATCAGGGCACTTGCATCACAGTAAATTCCAATGTTAATAAAAACACACAGAAGCTGTATATGTTTTTTGGGAGTTTGATTTATTTAAAAATGAGCACAAATACAAAATTAAAACCTATAATTGCACACTAAAACCATTATTTAAAAAAAAAGAACTATTTCACATAAACCTCTGGTTTTTACTGGGACAGTTCAACTAACCTGATTTAGGTGGGGGTTTTATTTCAAAAAAATATAGGTGTAGTTCTGTTAGTATAAGATAATAAGATGTACTTTGTTGATCCAAAATCGGGAAATTGTTTTGTTATGAAATTTAAATAAAAACATTTTTTAAATTTTAAATTTTCGATCTTTCCCCCTATTTTCGGCACCCCCATGGGTTGATGCGCCCTTAGCATTCGCCTATACTGCCTATGCCAAGGGCCGGCCCTGGGTGTCATTATTCTATAGCCACAACACTGTAAAATCAACATTAACTTTGTAATTATAAGATAAGGAAAATTCACTTTTGTTGCCGCATTAAGCTTCAAACACTTAGCCTAGTTAATGACATTCTTAGTGGATTGACAGAATAATGAATCAAATGTTTTGGGATAATTTACTGTTTTTAAGCAAATTGTAAACAACTCATGAGTTTTGGGTATTTTTGCTTTTCTTATTCAAGGATTAGACACTTTATCTGTTATATCACTTTAAATTGAGTTCTATCGAGCTTGGGACTCATTCCTAGATCCGAGACGTAGTTTGTGGCTTTTGTTTTACAATGTTTTTGTTAAAGGGCTACAGAATTGCAAACACAGCTATCTCCACCCGTAGTATCATAGTGCCCTTTATGATATTAGTGTGGGAGCGTCTGCCTGTACGATGAGGGTTGCAGCTCCAGATGGTCTTATGATTAGTCAATTCATCACAATACTTGCTCATTTCTGACTGCAGGGAATTCTAAGTAAGACCTGAAGCTGCCCCCTCCTGTTTGCTCTTTCACAGCATCTCACTTCCCTCTTCCTCTCATTCTCAGTCTATTTGCCGTATCTGATCCTCCTCAAGCAATCTCCGCTTTGCTTTGACCGCCCACCCCCCCCCTCGCCTTGTACAGTCTTCCCTCCTAATCTTTTTCTACACTCCCTCTGTGGCCTGCTTCCTTGCTCATCGTCTTACTCTTTTCACACTCTGCCTCTTCCTCCTCCCCTCCTCTTCCTCTTCTCTTCTGTTCTCCATCCATCTCCCTCAATTCCCCGGCTCCCTGATCTGATTTACCACTGTGGGGACTCTGTGTCACAGACGAGTGCTACAAGTGTAGGGGTAGGTGGGATGATGAGCGAGTGTGTGGGCATTCGTGCGTAAGTAGCTTCCCGTAAGATGTTTTCATTTTAAAGGTTTCATGTGTCACTAAAGCTGCTGCGTACATGCGTCACCTCTGAAACTCTCGGACAGTATAAAGTGTGTTATCAGGGCAGAGATTATTTCTCTTAGGGAGATTTAAGCACCAATACAAAGCCACATATTCTGCAGAGGTGTTACAGCATCAACATCACAATGACACAGGGCTTTTCAAACTGGCAGCTTAGTCACAGGTGTTGGAACAAGTCTGTTCATGTCAGGTTCGTTGAACAGAGCTGAAACTCGCCTATTAAAGCTTATTAGCCTGTCACTTCGGGTTGAATGCAGACAAAACACAAGGTGGAACAGAGACTATAAAATATTCAGCAGTGTGTGTGACCTTGTTGCCACTGCATGTGCCCTCCTGTGATATGATTTCAATCAGCCTTTTCTAAAATGACATGCTGCAATAAGCAACAGCCTGTTTCCCCCCCTTTGCCCAATCCTCTAACACCACTGATTTCCTCACACATTCATACACTCACCAGTATGTTTAGTCTGGTTATCAGTATCCAAAGTACAAGACTGTCATATTTCTACACACCTACCTTGTGTTATATGGCTCAGACTGGGGTTTGGCCTTCATCCTGGTGGTGAGGTACTTCTGTTTAATGTTCAGATAAAGTTTTCGACAACATTTAGCTGGTTGTGCAATACAAAAGCATCAATAAGAATCTTTCTCTCATCGGCTTCTCCTTCTCTTCTTGACCAACATCCAAGTCTCACTTCCACTCTAATTCATTTTGCTCCTGTTATGGATACCAAGGTTGTTCATGCCTAAATAACCAGGCAATTTTGCAGCCACCCAAATGAAACTCAAGTTTTAAGACTCAATTTATCTCGAGAAGATCAGGTTACTGAAGCAGAAGAGATAAAGTAAACACAGACAAAGCCCAGCTGACATATATTTAACTCTTTGTTCTTCTTTTGTAGAGTAAGTCCAAAGGCCAGGACCTTTTTGACCAGATCATGTATCACATAGATCTGGTGGAGACGGACTACTTTGGGTTGCAGTACATGGACACAGAACAAGTCTCCGTGAGTAAATAGAAAGGCCTCCGCCAAGGCTGTTACCACAAGTGATTGAAAAAATAATGCCTTTATCCACTTGTGATACGAATCTGAAACGAGATGTAATAGGTTCTTCTGTGGTCCCTGCTTTGGACTAGTCCGACCAATATTTTTTCTGTAACCCTGACAAACAAAAAAACAAATACAAACATAAACTCCTTGGCGGAAGCTCTTACTTCTCTAAGAGGAAATATATATTTACATATATAAATAACAAGCTGATATCACTAATAATCATCTGCTTATTGCTTTTTTTCTCTTCTAGCAATGGCTGGATATGTCCAAGATTATTAAGAAACAGATCCGAGGTAAGTAGGCATACTGTACCTGAGTTGTGTGTGTGTGTGTGTGTGTGTGTGTGTGTGTGTGTGTGTGTGTGTGTGTGTGTGTGTGTGTGTGTGTGTGTGTGTGTGTGTGTGTGTGTGTGTGTGTGTGTGTGTGTGTGTGTGTGTGTGTGTGTGTGTGTGTGTGTGTGTGTGTGTGTGTGTGTGTGTGTGTGTGTGTGTGTGTGTGTGTGTGTGTGTGTGTGTGTGTGTGTGTGTGTGTGTGTGTGTGTGTGTGTGTGTGTGTGTGTGTGTGTGTGTGTGTGTGTGTGTGTGTGTGTGTGTGTGTGTGTGTGTGTGTGTGTGTGTGTGTGTGTGTGTGTGTGTGTGTGTGTGTGTGTGTGTGTGTGTGTGTGTGTTCGTGAGTGCAGGGAAGTGTGGATTGTGCTGTATTCATGTGGAAGCAGGTAAGTGGGGAGCAGGTGGCGCATTATCCAATGTTGACATGGTGATTAGCATGTGCATTAGGAGCAGAACACTTGTTTGCTCTGCAGCTTGTAACAGGCGGATGAATGGGACAGGGGAGACATGTGTTGTCCTATTTGTTCGCTAGTCCTCCTGTAGTTGAGCAGCCTGAAAGAAAGTCTGATCAATGTTGAAGTGAAACAAACAATACAAAATAAAGTTGTTTAAAAAGAAATATGGATAGATAACGATTTGAAGCCTGTGTTGGATTAAAAGACGAGATGAAATGGATCAAATAAATCATAACAAGCTATGATTTGATTGAATTAATCACCTACCTCTTCCTCTCTCTCCACCTCCTTCTCTCACACACACTTTGCTCTCTCTCGTTATGTCTTTTAGACGGGCCTCATTACAGACTGTTCTTCAGAGTGAAATTTTACTCTTCAGAGCCAAATAACCTGCGAGAGGAATTTACAAGGTAAAAATCTCACCAATCAGACACACACACACATACACACACACACACATACACACACACACACACACACACACACACACACACACACACACACACACACACACACACACACACACACACACACACACACACACACACACACACACACCCATGAACACTCACGGTTTTCTCAGGAGCCCAGTAGGGAGGTCCAAAGGGGACGTTGGGCTAATTACTTTGCTGCTGTGGGCAGATTAAAATCAAGGCCAGATGGACGGAGACTTGTTAAAATAAATGATGTGTCAGAGATGAGGAAAAGCCTGTGATACATCAATTGATTTATGTTCTTGTTGTGGCTTGCATCTCACTCTGTGTTGTTGTCTTTGTTTACACCAACAGATATCTGTTTGTGTTGCAGCTTCGACAAGATATTCTCTCTGCAAAGTAAGACCCTTTTTCATGTTAATGCACACATTTCAGAATGACATTATAATACAACTTGAGACAGATACAAATGCATGTGTAAAAACATATACCACTGTTTTATATATCACATTACATCCTAACTATTCAATAATTAACAAGTAATTGGGAGGTCAAGTCAGGTAACAGATGTTTGTTTGATATGTTTATTAAACCATGAGACAGCCACCTGCTGGTGGTTTAATCATCACAAACAAATGGTTTGCAACCATACAATATTCAAACACAGACCATTTTGTCTTTAATTCTATTGGAGAACTAAATGTTTACACAGTTACTAAATATGACCATGAATTTTAAGTAAACATATTTAAAGCGTTGCACATGATTTATTAGATGGAGAGCGGTGGTTTCAAGATGATTAATGTTGACCTTATTAAATATTATTGCGTGTGATGAAAGATAAATAGGCCTATGCTTGGACTGCTTTGTAGAGTAAAAGGAAATAACTGAATTGAAGTATTGTGAACAGAAGAAACATTTACCCTAAAATGAAGTGTTTTATTATTATTTATATTATTGTCTGGTTATTTCTCTTCATCTGTGGTTTCTTTGTGGTTCTCAAAAGTAGTGCCAAACCTGATGTAAACACCTGTGGGAGCGTGCACACAGGTCACCTACATTACAGTTTGGGGGACTTTTTCTTTCTTTTCACAAACCTGCATGCACAAACACACACTCGGATAGCGTGTTACCCCTCTCCATTTTTCTGACTCTATCTGGGCCACGGATCTCCAGAGTCCAGCTCTATTATAAAGCTCAAGATCAGGAACAGCAGAGGGCTGCTTATTTTAGTAAAGGGTTGCTCCTCTTCTCCTTGACATGCGCGCGCACACACACACACACACACACACACACACACACACACACACACACACACACACACACACACACACACACACACACACACACACACACACACACACACACACACACACACACACACACACACACACACACACACACACACACACACACACACACACACACACACACACAGGCAGTGTAGGGCATTCAGACACTTTATTACTTTCCATCACATGAGAACATGTTCACTATGACTACACTAAAGAACGCTCCTCACCAGTGTCTCTCTTTCTCTGCTCAGATTGAAATGTCCGTATGATGTTGCAGTAGAGCTGGCGGCATATTGTTTACAAAGTAAGTGGAGTTTTAGATTGCATTTTTAAAGGTTTGAGAGGCCATTTAATTTAGTCCTCTTATTTATTTCATTATATATTTATTGTCAGTTATTTTGGGTGGTAAAGCAGTTGTGAGCATAGACAGGTCTCTTGCTCAGTGGTGCGTTTTTTGGTAATCATGATTGGAGTAAAACAAGGAATTTATGATCTGTGTAATCTAAAAATCAAACCCAGAGGACAAGCAATAAGCTAAGATGAGAAAAGTACTTTGTGCTCTGGGAAAAGTATTACATGAATTTGATGGCTACTGCAGCCTGGCCTCAAATCTTAAATGTCAAAGCTTTCATAAATGCACCAACATGACAGACAGTAAAGTGAAGTGTTTTTAGTCTGCAATTAGATGTTGATTTACTGGAGTGTAGCGTGAACATGCAAGTGACTATTATTGATAGTAGTAAATGGTGAAACAAAGTGCAAAAATCATGCTGCTAATCTGTATTTCTTAATTTCCTAGTGTCTTTACTTGATGTGTGTTTGTGTGAATCTGTATCCAGGTGAGATGGGAGACTGCGATCCTTTGGAGCACTCTCCTGAGCTGGTCTCTGAGTTTCGCTTCACTCCCAAACAGAGCGCGCCCATGGAGGCCGACATCTTCAGCAGGTGGTTGGACCTCAGGTGAGTTTGAACGTTGTAATGAATTCATAGTCAGACTTCAAAATGGGACTTTGTCAACCCCGGGACATTTATACATATGCATATACTAGTTGCTCCAACATTTTTGCTCTGTCAGGCAACATTTTGAAGGGAATCCAATGAGTTTATCTCCTTATTTTGAGAAACAACTGGGGCAAAAAGCTGGGCATTAAGCAGGAGAGGAAGTAATTCTGCTGCTGCCTTTCAGCGCCAGCGTTTCTACTGATGAGGGCATCTAAGTTTCACTCTCCCTCCGTCCTCTCCCCCTCTGACTCAGCCCCGTTCTCACTGGTTTGTATGAAGGATTAAGGGATTAATCCCTGGAGGGTCCTGATTGATTCTGGGCAGTATTTAACGCAGCCGTGGTCTGATTGCTCCCATTTCGGATTAGATTACATCCACATATGCTGCGCTTCACCAAGCCGCCTGAGCCACACAAGGACAAAACTCACACTGACTCTCATTCTTACTCACAAAAGAAAGACTAAGTCAAGGAGCACCCCTGTTTCTCTTAGAGCTAACCAATTACCTGTAGCGGTCATGCAGCTGGTAGCGATTTTGATGGTTATCTTTATCAAAGCAAGTTGCCCAAAACACCAGACCTGAGCTGACGTAAAAGTGATGTTTTTATTTATAAGCACTGTCTTTTTTTAAATCCTCAGGGGGAAGATTCCGTCAGAAGCAGAGGTTTTGTTTCTCAACAAATGCAAGTGGCTGGAACTTTACGGAGTGGATATGCACTTTGTCAAGGTGTGTGAGTGAATTTTACTGTCACTAAGTCTCTACTTTACAGAAGTTTTCGACCACTAAAGGTGTGTGTTTTGTCTTCAGGGGAGAGATGGAGGAGAATATGCACTCGGTCTTACTCCTACGGGCATTTTAGTATTTGAAGGCTCTAACAAAATCGGCCTGTTCTTTTGGTAAGTATATCAAACACATCTGTACACCAGTGGTTCCCAAAGTAAGTACAGTGGCTGTGGGTCTTAAAGGGTAATTTCCAAATGTTTTA